TCGGAGGCAACACAACCTATCTACAACCATACAATCTTCGATAAACCTGACAAAAACAAGCAATGGGGAAAGGATTCCCTGTTTAATAAGTGGTGTTGGGAAAACTGGCTAGCCATGTGCAGAAAGCAGAAACTGGACCCCTTCCTGACACCTTACACTAAAATGAACTCCAGATGGATTAAAGACTTAAACATAAGACCTGGCACCATAAAAACCCTAGAAGAAAATCTAGGCAAAACCATCCAGGACATAGGAGTAGGCAAGGACTTCATGAACAAAACACCAAAAGCATTGGCAACAAAAGCCAAAATAGACAAATGGCACCTAATCAAACTCCACAGCTTCTGCATGGCAAAAGGAACAGTCACTAGAGTGAATCGGCAACCAACAGAATGGGAAAAACTTTTTGCAGTTTACCCATCTGACAAAGGGCTGATATCCAGAATTCACAAAGAACTCAAACAGATTTACAGGAAAAAAACAAACAAGCCCATTCAAAATTGGGCAAAGGATATGAACAGACACTTTACAAAAGAAGACATATATGAGGCCAACAATCATATGAAAAAATGCTCATCGTCACTGGTCATTAGAGAGATGCAAATCAAAACTACATTGAGATACCATCTCACACCAGTTAGAATGGTGATCATTAAAAAATCTGGAGACAACAGATGCTAGAGAGGATGTGGAGAAAAAGGAACACTTTTACACTGTTGGTGGGAGTGTAAATTAGTTCAACCATTGTGGAAGACAGTGTGGCGATTCCTCAAGGCCTTAGAAATAGAAATTCCATTTGACCCAGCAATCCCATTACTTGGTATATATCCAAAGGACTATAAATCATTCTACTAGAAGGACACATGCACACGAATGTTCATTGCAGCACTGTTTACAATAGCAAAGACCTGGAACCAACCCAAATGCCCACTGATGATAGACTGGATTGGGAAAATGTGGCACATATACACCATGGAATATTATGCAGCAATCAGAAATGATGAGTTCATGTCGTTTGTAGGGACATGGATGAATCTGGAGAACATCATTCTCAGCAAACTGACACAAGAACAGAAAATGAAATACCACATATTCTCACTCATAGGCGGGTGATGAAAAATGAGAACACATGAACACAGGGAGGGGAGTACTAAACACTGGGGTCTACTGGGGGGAAAGGGGGAGGGCAAGCGGCGGGGGAGCTGGGGAGGGATAGCCTGGGGAGAAATGCCAAATGTGGGTGAAGGGGAGAAAGGAAGCAAAACACACTGCCATGTGTGTACCTATGCAACTGTCTTGCATGTTCTGCACATCCCCAAAACCAAAAATGCAATAAAAAAATTTAAAAAAAAACATATCATTCCAGCATTCCAGGGAGAAATAGTTTCTCTACCTAACCTGTATGATATCCACAAAACAATGAGGGAAGGGGACAAAGAGACAATCTAGAGTCCTAGTCATACACAAACTAGTGGCATTTGAAATTGAATTAACACACAGACTCAACCATTATGCATAAACTACACAAGGAAACATTTAAGAGTTTTTATTAAACACAAAACCAAAATAAGCTCTAAGAAGTAAGGTAGGGCTACTCAAGGGCATTTTCTGTGGACAGCACGTACAGCACCATTAAGGTTAGCTTAGATTTTAACAAACCATGAGCTAACTACATTTTGTTTCTCTTAGTAGTTTTAGGGTCTGCCTAGTAATCATTCAAGAAATTTTACTTCTCCAGAATATATCAACATGGTAACCAAAGAAATGTAAATATTTAGAAAAAGCACTACACAATAAAATTATGAGATGCAGTTCTTACACATGTCAGGATGTTCTCTACATCTCCTACAATGTGCATTAACAAAATTAATGCAGGATAAGACCTTCACTCCAACCCAAATATCTTACATGATTAACGCTATTTTCAAAATCAGCAGAACAAGCTGCAGTTACTTTTTTTAGACATTTAGCTTTAGAACTCTGAAGTTCAAAGCAAGTTGTTAAAAGTAAGCTGGTTGACATATTTAGCAATAGAACCACTGTTTTACTTCTGACATCATTCTTAGGCATTAATTCAGAAACATCCTCTAAGCTATACTGGTGGTACCACCGGCTTACTAGCTGCTGGTCATACTGCAGATCAACGACTGGTTTGAGCAAAGGACCTTAAGATGATTTTAAGGCATGATTAATAGTTTCCAAAAATGATGAACATGAGTACTCTTATGAGCAATGCTAGACAAAGTATCAATATTTTTTTTGCCCTACAGAATGTTTTAGAATATTTTTGCCATCAAAATTTCTGATTTGCAATCATACAACTGATTGGGAGATGCACTCTTATGGATGTTAAATGACATAAGTAAGTAAACTAGACATATTCTTTTAAATATAGGTTATTATTTGAGTGAGCTTGATGCACTCTTAGGATATAACCACCCCTAAAGTGAAAACTCACCCCTACATGGTACAAGTGACACACAGAAGTCATTATTTGCACCACAGCAATAATATTCCATGAACTCTCTATTCATAAACACAGAAGGAAAAGAGAGGTGTTGCACAAAGGGAAGTACTTTGCTGATTTCAAAGCACAACTTTATTTCCTTTCTATGTAAATATTTGACATATTTTCAAAATACAATGATTTGGGGAGCAGAGAAGGGTTTTATAAGAACTGTTAGCAGGAGTGATCATCAAGGTGAAAATACTGAACTGGCTTGAAGAGAGACATATACTATAAACTGCTGTACACTTTGTTTCCATGTCCATTATCTGGGTACATGAACTTGACTGGCAAGTCTGTCCATTCATGGTACAATCAAGGAGGCTTGGAAACTACTAATACTCGATCCATATACAAGTAAAAAGTGGATGGCCTTGGTCATTTCCTATCACTTCCCTTTCCCATGAAAAATAATTCACACTTCAAACAAATTAGCAGTTTGTCCACAGCCTGGAACCAAACCCTCCCCTATCCTGGAATGGGAAGTGAGGAACATCATTAAGCATCGAGAAAACCACCAAGTATCATTAATTACATTTAGATGAGTGTTCAAATAGTTTCTACCATATACCTCCTTAGTATTAAGGGGCCATATTGCCATGATATAGTAGTATTACTCAGTAAATGCTGAACAGACTACATTTATGATATTAAAGAGTTTTAATTCAGGAAAATCTATAGTACCCATAGCATAGCAACAAAAAGTTGTTGATATAGATGTAACCACAGCTTTACACTAGATACAATAAAATAGACACAAATGGGGAAAACAGTTTTGGAGAGATAGAAAGCTTTTTTTTTTTTTGAGACAGAGTCTCGCTCTGTCGCCCAGGCTGGAGTGCAGTGGTGCGATTTCAGCTCACTGGAACCTCTGCCTCCCGGGTTCAAGCAATTCTCCTGCCTCAGCATCCCAAATAGCTGGGACAGTAAGTACCTGCCACCATGCCCGGCTAATTTTTTGGAAAGCTTTTAAAGATAAGCAGATAATACCAAAAGTAAGTGTAATAGGAAAAAAAAGGAGTACCTAAATGAACAGTTGTTGATGCACAGGGAATGTTTAACACAAACTGCATTATAAACCCAAGCTGGCTAACTATGCCTCAGCTGAACCTGCAGGAATAATAGGCTAGGACCCACAAAGAGAATAATGTGGAAAATAAATCTAGAGCAATAAAAAGAGCCAGTCCGATACTGTCGGATTCAAGTATTTTGTTTCTGCTTTCTCTTGGTAAGCGATCTAATTCATAAAACACTGACATGGTAAAAGTGAGTAGATATTAGGACAGCAGGTACTCAATCTTCTAATCACTTACGTGCCTAGCCTACCACAGAGATGGGTGAACTTCACTGTCAATCATCTTTGAGGAATCAGCTGAGGACTACATATCTAATTTGGGAAACTTGAGAAAGTGGCTTCCACGAATTCCAACCAATAAACTTACTCCTGGAGACTATTCTGGAATAGATTATTAAAAGGATGTTTGTTAACACTTATGAAGGAAAGTAGTGCTTGTTAAGAGAGGCAGGTTCATGAAAATATTTTGACAGGAATACTCAAGTAACAGCCCCAGGAAACCCATCAGGATTACAGAAGACTTGGCCAGGTCTCTCATGATCAAAAGTCCTTGTGAACAAGAAAGAAAAATAAATGGATGCTGACATAATTAGGTTGACTGGAAACTGAATGATTGATTGTGCTCAAAGTATGAATCTTCAGAGCCCAGCAATTGTTCAACAAATAATTTTTTGCATGAACTGATGAGGAGTCAGATCCCTCAAGGAGTTCGCCAGAGTGTAAAATACAAGGTCTTTAAAGATTTGCTTGTTATGGAACGGTTCGAGTCTCCTCACTCTTCTGGTTCTACATCTCTTCCTCAACATACTCAACCCCATTAACAAGAACAGTTAACAGCTACTCTCTCCCAACCATGGGAAAGCATTGAAATAAGGCATTTTTTTTCACTAGTAGAGAATAAAATAGCATCTAATCCAACAAGTTATTAGAGTAAGATTTCCACAAACACATCCATAAACTCCCTTGATCATTATGTAAAATTTCTATATACTGGTTCTCTTTCTTTCAATCCTCTTCTCAAGAAACTTCTGAACCACTAATACTATTTTCAACTGCCTTAACTTCCTCATCCCAAATAAAGCACAAGATTTATTTATGCTTATGAAAACATGCAAGCCATAATTTGCCTGCCTTACAAGGATCAGCAAAAACTCAAATTTGCAAGCCATTTTACCTTAAAACCGACCGTTCCAAAAGGAGTAATAAAAGTAAAATATTTTAAGTGCCACCATAATTTTTCTTAATTGGTAAGAGAAATGATGATGCTATGCCATCCACATTTATGAATCTTGTCAAATGACAAAAGAGGTTAATGAGCTCGGCACTTAAAAATTGTCTCTTTTTAAAAAAATGACAGCTTATTATGAATTAAGCAAGCTTAGGATATACTATTTGTAATCTCAAACAATGCACTGAAAGTGAGTCTTAATTTCAGAGTTTTATTGTATTGCACTAAAGGAACAGCAGGATGGTTATACAATTTTCTCTCTCATTCAGTTTTGAAAATCTAAAGTACCTGGAAATTCTTAAGAATACCTTTACCACCAGATTAGAACAGTAAGCATAATAACCAATTTCTTAATAAGTAATGTCCTTACAAATAAAAACACATTTAAAATAGCTTTAAATGCATTCTTCACAAGTAATTCAGCATATATATTTTATATCATGTTTACTTATGCTTAAGAATTAAAGCAAGTATATTTATCACTCTGATGGAAATATGGGAAATCTCTCATTCATGCAATATACAGGGATAATATCAAGTCAAAGGGAAAAATCCCGCTTTTTATTTTTGTAAATGTATCCATATATAATCATCTACATGACAGATGAGAAAACCCAAGAAGTTTCCCACTAGTTAGATATACATTTTCAGTTCATCAGAAGCACCTGATATCTACAACTAATTTATAATTAGATACTGTTTCAATGAAACCAAAATGAGCCCTACAAGTTCCTATAAACAAAAACTTCCAATGTACTAGGGCAGTCAGTAATTAATGCATCATTCAGAGGATTCATGGCTGTTCCTTAAGAAGTGCAAGTTCAAACCTGTCAATACCAGAGGTAATCATTTTATATTAATTTATATGTAATTCCATTTAAATTCTTTATCCGAATATAACATATGAAAACAGTCTTTCCACAAGCAAAAAATGTGGAAACATTTAAAAAATAAGGAGTCATTTTTAAAGTAACTGATCAGATTCCACAGGCTACTCTTGGAAACAGGATCTTGCTGGATAGAATCCCTTCATGTGGTGGCTTTTTGCATGCACTTAACTGGACCAATTCTTCTGTGTGTTGTTCTAAGAGCTCACCAAAACATAGATCATGCTGAAAAGAAGAAAAAAGCTGTTAATTTTAATACTCCTAATTAAAAAAAAAAACTCAGAGCATGAGAAAATATGCTTTCTATAGCAAACTAGTATCAGAGAAAATGAAAAGACTAATGACAAGTTCACAGTGATTTTCATTTGCATTTATGGACTTTTGCCTAACATAGGACTTGGCTCAGCGCATGTTCTGTAGTTGTCCCCTACTTCCTTTCCAGTTTTAGCAAGTAGAACAGCACAGCTGAAAGCTTAATGGGAGATCAGAGCTTAAAGAAGCTATCCAAACACCACTCTGCTCTGCAGTTGTGTCTAATAATAGGAGTGAGCATCTCTGCAGGGCTCACTTCACACCAGGCCCTGTTAGGTCTTTTATCCATATTACCTTGCTTAATCCTCCACGAAGTCCTAGAAGGCAGGTACCACATGTAACCCCATTATATAGAAGGGAATGATCAATCAAGGATCTTTCCCACTAGACAAAAGCTCTAAGCAAGAGCTTAGAGCTTAACTTTTAGGAAGCGGTTAAAAAAAAGGGGGGGCAGGAAACAGCAAAATAAAAGGCAGTAACCATTTGACTTAGGCTTAAGAGCTGCCAAGGGCCATTCTACATAGAATGATATGGGAAAGGTACCCGGGCATGGTTCAAAAAGTATGAATCTCTAAACAGAAATACAAAGCAAGGAATTGAACAAACTTGATAGACAACTTTAAAACAGAACAAATGTCCTGGTGCTACCGTATCCTGGTGAACGTTTTCCCGCAACTGCAAATCTCCTACTTTATCATTTATTCGATCATTTCATTTCTTTCATTCAACAAATACATTTGACATGCCTATTAATATGCCAACCCTGTTCCAGACATTTACTATGGAAACTTACAAAGTGAAAATTAACAGGAAATTAAAATGACACATGGAATTTCACTTTTCAGAGCATTTCTTTGTCTCATAGATGAGTTATATCTGCATATGCTCTAAAGGATACTCATTTTCACAGTAGTAGCCTCTAAAAGCATAAAAATAGCTTTTTCCTAAATTTCAGTCTAACCATTCATCCTTTTCTATGATGGAAACTTATGTATAAAGAGAAATATGAATATGAATAAAAGCCTAGCCTAGCAAGTTTTCAAGTCATGAAAAAGAGAGGGAATGGAAGCTGCTATTTTTTTAAAGTTTACAGATTTTTTTTGAAATATTTTGAAATCAGGGAGAAAGCCCTCTCTAGTTGAATATATATCAATAAAAATGAGAAGGTATTTTCTAGAATATGTAAATAATGTGTAAAAGTATATTCATATAACTTAAAGAAATCTGTAATTTCACACTTAACAGTGTCCTTTTCTAGTTCTAATAAGCATTCATTTCACTGCACCTACAACACACCTATAGGCAGTGATTCTCAACCAGGGCAATTTTGCCTCTCAGGACATCTGGCAATGTCAAGAGACATTTTTAGTTGTCATGAGGAGGGCAGACGGGTGCTAATGGCATCAGTGGGTAAAGGCCAGGGACGCTGCTAAACATCCTATGATACACAGGACAGCTTCCCACGGAAATTGCCACACAGCCCAGAATTGTTAACAGTGCCGAAGTTGAAAAACCCCAACCTAAAGAAACAACGATGAGTCCATCAGAGTATAAAAGGAAAAAAATCAGGCCAGGCGCAGTGGCTCATGCCTGTAATCCCAGTACTTTGGGAGGCCAAGGCAGACAGATCACCTGAGGTCGGGAGTTCAAGATCAGCCTGGCCAACATGGTGAAACCCCATCTCTACTAAAAATATAAAAATTAGCCAGGCGTGGTGGTACATGCCTGTAGTCCCGGCTACTCGGGAGGCTGAGGCAGGAGAATCACTTGAGCCCAGGGGGCAGAGGTTGCAGTGAGCTAAGATCACGCCCCTGCACTCCAGCCTGGGCGACAGAGTGAGACTCCATCTCAAAAAAGAAAAGGAACAAAAAGGATAAAAATCAGAAAATGCACCACCCTGTAAGGTAGAACTACTACTCTCATTCATCCGACTGACATCAAGCAAATCAGAAAATAAAGGGCAGAGCACACCACTTATGACGAATGACAAGGACAAAAAGAAACGCAATCTCTGGAGAGATACTGAAGACAAGCAGAAACTTCTACAAACTCACACATCCTATCCTTCAATGCCATCACTCTTCCATGCAGAATGAGGACCATCCTTTACCGACTGAACGTGTCTGAAAACTTAGGAAGCAGCATCCCTGACCAAACCTTCTGCCTCTGATGGCAAGCTGGCTTACTGCCTTGACAAGCACCAGCTGGGCCACAATCAATGTGTGTGAATTTGCTTGTGTGCACCATGCACACTTAAGACACTAAGTTATTTTTCGAGTGGATTTTAAGGTGTTCAAACCATAATGCCTGCAAACTTTTAAAACAGCAAAGTGAAATCTTATTTCATTTTACCTTTTAAACTTACCCGTATAGGTAGTAAAAAAATGCTAGAAGATAAAAAGCTAATTTACACCATCCTTCCTTCTGACAATATGCTAGAATATCTGCATTCATGATGGTTGTAGGATCATACAGTCCTGGTCCACTCATCACTGGTCTACTCATATACCTGGAATAAACACAGTCTATTAGGCATTCAGAAAGGGCAGCAAACATTCAGATGAGACAGGGAGTCCTTCTTCTGAAACATCTGTTACTAGAGGTGGTCCATACATGGAAGCATTATTTTACTTATTGGCAAAATGCTTTCCTTTTATCATCTTAATTTTAAAAGTAGAGCCCCTAAATGAGCAGAATGAGACAGCTAAACAGGTTTCATCTAGTCTCTGCCTTTTGAGAAATCCAAGAAAAACAGGAAGAACTGTAAAAATAGATGTTTTGTTTTTACTTTCTTGACATAATTTTAGACTTACAGAAAAGATGTAAGAACCTTTCACCCAGATATTCCAAATGTCCATTTTTACTACATTTGCTTTAACCTTCTGTTTCTCATTCTGAGTACTTTTTTTTTTTCTTTTTGAGACAGGGTCTTTCCCTGTCACCCAGACTGGAATACAGTGGTACAATCTCAGCTCACCACAATCTCAGGCTCCTGGGCTCAAGCAATCCTTCTGCCTCAGCCTCCCAAGTAGCCGGGACTACGGGCACCTGCCACCATGCCTGGCTAATTTTTCTGTATTTTTGGTAGAGAGGGGGGTTTCACCATGTTGCCCTGTCTGTTCTCCAACTACTGGGCTCAAGTGATCCGCCTGCCTCAGTCTCTCAAAGTGCTAGGATTATAGGCATGACCCATTGCACCTGGCCCTCGGTGGAGTCTCGCTCTGTCACCCAGGCTGGAGTGCAGTGGCGCGATCTCGGCTCACTGCAACCTCTGCCTCCAGGATTCAAGCAATTCTCTGCCTCAGCCTCCTGAGTAGCTAGGATTACAGGCACCTGCCACCATGCCCAGCTAATTTTTATATTTTTAGTAGAAACAGGGTTTTCACCATCTTGGCCAGGCTGGTCTTGAACTCCTGACCTCGTGATCCACCCACCTCGGCCTCCCGAAGTGCTGGGATTACAGGCATGAGCTACCACACCCGGCCAAGTACGTTTTTTTCTGAATCATTTCAGAGACCATTGTAGACATGATACCACTTTACTCCTAAATATTTATTCAGTATTTATCTCCTAAAATCAAGGGCTATGGAAGTTATAAAATGTGATTATCTTTTACAAATAACAAAATTTATTTAGTTATCAACACAAAGAATGAGACACACATTGTACATTTGACTTATCTGAAGTTCAAGGACAAGCAAAGCTAATCTAATTTGATAGAGGTCAGTGGCCTTGGGAAGTGTGGAGGGTAACTCACGGGATGGGCACAAGTGAATGCTCTAGAGGCTACACCTATTGTGTATCTTGATCTGGGTGGTAGTTTAACAGGTGTGTATATATGTGTAGAAATTCATTGAGCTATATACTTCAGACTTGTGCACAACACCTTAAGTTATACCTCACTTTTTAAAAAAAATCCTTTATAAACAGAGTAAGCTTGGCTGGGCGCAGTGACTCACACCTGTAATCCCAGCATTTTGGGAGGCCAAGGCAGGTGGATCATGAGGTCAGGAGTTTGAAACCAGCCTGACCAACACAGTGAAACCCCGTCTCTATGAAAAATGTAAGAATCAGCCAGGTGGGGTGGCGCACGCCTATAATCCCAGCCACTCAGCACCTCGAGGCAGGAGAATCGCTTGAACCCAGGAGGCGAGGTTGCAGTGAGCCAAGAACAAGCCACTACTCCAGCTTGGGCGACAGAGCGAAACGCCGTCTCAAAAAACAAATAAATTAAGTTCTGTAAGAGATATTAAGTTTTTGTTCGTCTACTTGATTGTTTAAAAAATAAATGTCAACTAATCTTCAAATTGTTTTTTTCTTTTTTTTTTTGAGACGGAGTCTCGCTCTGTCACCAGGCTAGAGTGCAGTGGCGCGATCTTGGCTCACTGCAACCTCCAACTCCCTAGTTCAAGTGATTCTCCTGCCTCAGCCTCAGGCACGCATCACCACGCCCACCTAATTTTTATATTTTTAGTAGAGACAGGGCCTCTCACCATGTTGGCCAGGATATTCTCGATCTTCTGACCTCGTGATCTGCCTGCCTCGGCCTCCCAAAGTGCTGGGATTACAGGCATAAGCCACAGTGCCCAGTTTAATCTTCAATTTTTATGTAGGTGACTAGCATGTAAGATAACCATATCAACCACAGTATATTTAAGTTTCAATTTAAAAAAATATTAAAAGTATATCTAAATATTACCTCCAAATATGATATGCCAAGAGGGGCATATTGAGACCCAGCGTAAGCCACTCTGCTGCACAAAGAAACATGACACAGAAGAAAGCATGGATGAGGTACTCTGGGAGTACAAGCTGGAAGGAAAACACAAGCCAGTTATCAAAATGCCTTGTCATTAAGTCAACTGCTAATCTGGAAAGCAGGTGGCAACCAAGTTTCCATAATGAAAAATCACTATTTTCTTGGACTCCAAAATAAAAGATGCTACTGAGTTTTATTTCCATGTTTAATTTTTTACCAAAAGTAAGATAACAAGCAAACTGACCAGAGCATATAGCTTGCACTAACACAGTAAGATATATAACTTAAAATTTAAAGCTCAAATTCTTAAGAGTAATAGATCAAATTACACAAAGTTACTAACCAGATTGTTAAACAATTTGCCAGCCAACTAGAATACTTTTTCTTTCCACCATTTATCAATAATAGAAGCACAAAAATGAGATATCTGATCACATGCAGCATATTAAAAATTTCACAGAAACAAAACTCCCCTTTAGAATTTTACACATTAGTGTGTTCAAGAAACCAGAAATGCTACATACACAATATTTAGCAAACCACATCACATTGCCACAGAAGTCATTTTTTATGGAAAGCCAATCAGCCAATAATCTCAGCACAATGGGGGGAAGAACACTAATGTGCACAAATGTAAAAGATTTGCTTTCTGCAATGTAGGAGGGAAAAGATTGGGTTCTTAACCATGAAATTAGGATTTTCCAGGTTCCCAAGTTCTCATTCTTAGATGGCCTTTCCGTTTCTTTACGCCTGCAAAATGCTACAGATACAACAGAAGACCAGTAGAAACTCAGAACCCAAAAACAAAGTAAGTAGGTAGTAGGTAATATTAAGTGAGGAAAAATTAATTCACGTAACATGTTTTTTATAAAATGAACAGGAGTTAATGCTTTATTTTAAATTATCTTTCTCATCCTACAGATTTCAGCCTGATGACTCTGTTAAATAAAAACACCAAAACCTCTCATTGCAAGTTTCAGCCAAAGAGTTTCCTATTAAGTCACAGCTACAAAGTCAGTTTCTCAAATGTTTACTTCATACCAAATGGAAATCATATGAATACTTATTATCATCAGATCACTCCTGAGGGGATACTATGGCTGTAGATAAAATATAATCATACTACATACTGGAGCCCATTTTCTCATACTCCCAAACTACTCTTTCCAATTTAAAGCTGTAGAGGGGACTTTTTAATGAATAGTATTTTAAATGAAATCCAGGTAAACAATTGATCTACACCACTAACCAAATATTTTCTACAGCGTAAGCAATATAATAATAAAAGATAAACTGTACATATGTATACAAACTTGTAACTAACATTTAAGCTGGCATCTATTTAAGATCAAAGTTCTCTAAACAAGAAAATGGTCATAGGACTCTGAAACTCAATGACTATAAACAGAACCAACCAAGAAAAATATACATTTTAAGAGTTCCACTAGAGTTGCTTTTATAACCGTAACTTAAATTACGGAAGTGTCTTTAAAATATAACAAGCCTATTTCAGCCCTATAAAGCCAACTGATACCTAACAAACAAGGTTTCATCCTATACTTACAGACTGAAATATGGAAAGAATAATTTTGAAAGCATGACCGCCCCACCCCACTCTTAATATACTTTAACAAAAGTGTTAATAAAGATAATCTACAACTCTACCAGTTCTAATATGAAACAACTGTCATTCCCTCCCTTCTCCTCAAAAGGAGTCCAGAAACATTTACTACCAATCTCTCTTTAAAAACCAACCCTCTCCGAGCATTCTTTAATGACGAAATTTCCCCGTAAGTGACACAAACAGTATTCCACTTAGGAACCAAGGTTCAAATAGAAACTAGTATCCAGAAAAAATATACCTCATGCAAATATGGCTGAAATGATAGTATTTAAACATGCAAAACATAATATTCTCTTGTTAAAGATCACAATTTAAAAAATAGCGATATTTGTCTTCCCCCATACTTTGGCAGAACTGTCAAAACAAATTTAAATAGGGAAAACTGTCAGATGCACTGCTATTCAGCCAATTATCGGCACCCTATCCAAAATACAACCTGTGCTGCTATGAAAACGTCCTTCAACCTACTGCAGCATTTGGATGTCCCAAGCACATGTCTTTTTCTCAGTGAGAATATCCTTCCATTAAGGAAAGCCAGAAATCACACATTACATGTTAAAATTAAACCAGACCCTCTTAAATTTATAATACATTAGGGAAATACAAGAGCTTGAGCTTCAAAAATTAGGCTGTCCTGAGTTCAAATTCTGACTCTATCTTAGCTGTATGACCTTCGGCAAAGTGCTTTAACCAGGCAAAGCTTCAGTTTATTCTCCTATTCATAAGGTAACAATATACCTACCTCAGGATTCTCATGAGAATTAAACGAAAAAATTTAGGCAAAGTGCTTAGCACAGAGCCCAGCACCCAGGTAAATCCTCATCTGATTTCAGGTATTTTTACCTTCATTATCATTTGGTTATTTGAAGTGATGAAAAGACAAACAGCATAGAATACTATTAATAAACAGCTATCAAAAGGGGAAATTTCAGTTTCTTCATTTTTTGGTAACAACTTCAACTACTTAGGTTAAGATGTTTTACAATTAACACTACTTTCCAACAGAAGGCAAATTCATCTCATGTCTTGTTTCACAAGAGCAAAGAAACAACTAATAAGTTAATACTTTTAATTGAACCTACATCAACTCTTACTGTAACAGTTCTAACTAGAAATCTCTTCCACCATCCATGTTTATCTGGGAAACAATAATAAAGTAGCAAACTAACTTTGTAGATGCTTTTCCAAATAAAATCCCCCTAGCACACTAGTGCTAGTACACTAGTATGCTAGACAACTAAAATCTACACAAACTCTCCCCTTCATTAAGTAATTTTTAAAGCTGAATTACTGTAGTTTATTTCTTGAAGACATACCCACTGCTTTCTTATAAACAACATTTCCATTCCTGACCAATCAGGCAAAATCAAATACATGGGCTAAAGGGGAATCTTCCTAAATGCAGTCAAAAATATAAAAAACAAGCTGGGTACCCTGGTGTACGCCTGTAATCCCAGCCACCCAGCAGGCTGATGCAGGAGGATCCCTTGACCCAGGAGTTTGATACAAGCCTAGGCAATATAGCGAGATCTCCACCTCAAAACTTAAAAATACATACATACGTTTTTTTCAAAACCCCTAAGCACAATGGAGCCACATTACCACTAAATTCATGATGGCTCAGAACTTAGTGTAATTCAGGCCTGTTTTAGAAATATAAAGCAGATACACACTAGAAATAACTACATAGACATTTGTGTACAAATTGTTATCTACAAAATTATGGGACCCTAAGTCCAAAGAATGGCATTACTGCAAGATCCCAGAGCACCCAGAACAGAACTATCCACCTAACAGGCTCTGAATAAACATCAGCTGAAAGAATGACTCATGTATTCCAGAATATACACACCAAAGATAAAACCAGATACGGCAGATAAGTCCATACTAAAGATTTCACTCACATACCACCTCACAGTAAGTCACAACTCGAGAATAATCTCACCATCTGCTGGTCATTTTATGTTAACCAACTTTCAAGTACTACCCCAAATAATTTCATAGAGAAGTGCCTATGGCTTATAACATAAAAAATGCATACGCATTTAACAGCTTTCCCTACTTGACTGGGCCAGCAAGCATATATTTGCATAAAATATGACATTTCATGAAATCATAAACCTCAACAGGCGTATGAACGAGCACATTGAACAAAACGTTACAAATACAACCCACCCCATGAAATGAATAGAGCATTAAAACATTAAACTAAAAAGCAGTACACACCTTTAATGCAATTTTGACTCTTTTAATCTTTTTGACCTTTTCAACTGTCTTTGGCCGACAATGTAAAAAGCAGATTGGAAGAATGTTAGTATGACAGCTGACAAGATCACCAGTAGATTAATAATAGTCAGAATAGTCAAGCACGACAGGAAAAAGATTTTTTAAATTCTACCCACTTCAAAAAGTATAAATACATCATGCTACTGAGAACACGGGCCATTTTCAAATTACATCAAGTTAAAAACAAATATACTTTTAAAATCTAAAGATAAATCCTATATTATAACTTACAGGATTCAGGGTATTACACTGGTCTATAGGATTCTTGTAATCAGTCTTCAGCTCATCAAATGCTATAATCTAAAACAAAATTAAAACAGTTAGGACCACTCACTTTAATAAAAAGCAGAAACAAACCTGCCCTATCTTCAAATAATTATTAAAGTTAATAAAACAAGAACAAAAGTACACCAGCATCACAAGTACCAATTTACAGCAAACTCATATATGACAAAAAGAGCCAGAATCTGACTTAAAGAAGTAAAAACACTCTTATGTCAGTATCACTAAAATGATATGGTATCACTGGCTAAACATCTTCAATTTCCAACATCTTCAATGCCTCTGCTCAAGTTATTGTAACTTATCTCTGCTTGATATAATCTTCCAAGTAGAAAAATCATTTCAACTGTTTATCCAAATTCCTCTTTATCCTAAAAAAACAACAAACCTTCCTATGCCAACTGCTTTCTGTAGGTTTTCCTAACTCCTTTGGGCAGAAGAATTGCATCCTTGTCTACATCTCCACATAGCACAGGACTCCATAATGCCATTGATACGACTTTTCTCATACTGGAGTGTGGTATTTAAATACAGGTCTGCTGCCCCTCTACACTCTCAGGGAGAAGGACCATTTTTATTTCTTTGTGCATGCTCCTCCTCCCTTGGCACAGTGCTCAGTGGGACACTAGAGATGTATTCAAACTCTTCAATTTGTTCCCATTTGTGCGCAAACACATAGGTTCCTAAGGATGCTTTTGTCCACACGCTGGGGGAATGTGACTTCAACCTCAAGGGTCACTAGAATGTACGTTACAAGTCAAAATAGGGACTACATACCACTTTATGGCATCAATTCAGGTGTCAAAGAAAGACAAAGGGAGCAAGTTGATGGGAGAGTCATTTTAGTTGCTAACACCGCTCACCCCAGGGACACACAACCTAAGCTACCCTTTCCCCTAATGAGTTAGGAATAGTATCTTTATTTGTAAAATGGTGTTGATCAATATTATCAGTAATCAGTAAAGTTATACATTTGCATCTTTTAACGTGACTGCTTATTTCCCTATTAAAATTCTTAGTTTCATAAAAAGATGTTTTCTTTTAATTTCTAGAGTTTTATAAAATTCACCAACCTACCCTAATAAAAACTCCAACCAAAGAGCAATAGAAGGAAAATAATAAAACATTAAAATGTAGTATCTGAAAGAACCAAGACTGTTGTATTTACTATTATGTCCCAGGGCCTAAAATATAAAATAGTGCCTGGCACACATCAAGTGCTCAATAAATATTTGTTACATGGAAGGAGGGGGGTGAAAAAATAGCACTAGGGATTAAAATCGTACAGCATTCACCAGGAGGGATTTTCCTCAGCTAATAACACCTAACGCAAACGTTAAAAATATAAATATGTAATTAGAAAATACTTTCTGATTACTTATGGACATTATTAGTCAGCTACCTGACATCAGCCACGGTATATCTCCAGTGCGTTTTAGTAATCAAGTTCAAGACAAGGATCCTAATTGTAAGTACTTGTCTATAACAAGATCTAACTTAACAGAATACAAAACACATATTTAATACTAACATTTAATTGGACATTTTCTTCAGGTGACTTTAAGGGATTTTTTTTTTTTTTTTAAGACAGGGTCTCACTCTGTCATCCAGGCTGGAGTGCAGTGGCACAATCTCAGCTCACTGCAACCTCTGCCTCCTTAGCTCAAGTGATTCTCTTGCCTCAGCCTCCAGATTAGCTGGGACTACAGGTGCATGGCACCATGCCTGGCTAATTTTTTTATTTCTTGCAGAGCTAGGATTTTACCATGTTGCCCAGGCTGTTTTCAAACTCCTGAGCTCAGGTGATCTACCTGCCTTGGCCTCCCAAAGTGCTGAGATTCACAGGCATGAGCCACCATGCTTGGCCACAAGGGATCTTTTAAGTATGTTGTTGAATGGGCTTCTGTTTGAGTGCTATAGGCTAGGGTTTAAGAACCTCTTCTGAGCAGATTTCTAAACTAATGGTTTTCGAATATTTTTGCAGCTATGTGGCTGAGCAAAGACACCCACAAAACTTCCCACAGAAGTATAACAACAATAAAACAGATAAGTCCTTAAAGATGCTAAGTACAAAATTCAGGCTACCTTCCAATTTGATGCATATCTTTAAAGAATGACTTCTGCACTTTCAATTTTTCAAACGATCTATGTTCCCAACTCTATTCTCCACAGAGAATCAAAGATGTGAATTAGGACTAAATAGACAAATACAATCATCAGCAGAAAAAACATTCTCTAATACAATGATTAATGTAAATAAGATTTTGGGAATGTAATTTTAAAACTGTAAAATGAATCTTCTGAAAGGTACATCAACTACCTGCTACAGTTGGGTTTTTAACTCCTCCAAATCTCAGGTTGAAATCTCATCCCCAACGTTGGAGGCTGGATCTAATGAGAGGTGTTTGGGTCAAGGGGGCAGATCCCTCATGAATTGCTTGGTGTCATCTTGGAGGGAATAAGTAAGTTCTCCTGCTATTAGTACCCAAGATAACCAGTTGTTAAACAGCACCTGGCACCTCCCCCTCTTTTTCCTTTGCTTCCTCTCACTGTGGGATCTCTACACACTGCTCCCGGCCCATGAGTGGAAGCAGCCTGTGGCTTTCACCAAATGCCAGCAGAATCTTGAGGGAAATAAACCCCTTTTCTTTGTAAATTACTCAGCCTCCCATATTCCTTTATAGCAAAACAAATGGACTAGGATACTACCTAAGAAAATAAACATAAGGTTTTATGGATAATAGAAAAATTAAAACTATCTATTTAGAATTGCTTTCAAGAGGATACTAATTCTTTGAACGAAGAAATCCTTAAGCATAAAAGCTCTCCACAAATCCGTGGTATAAATTTTTTTTAATTCTATAACACGACTTAAAATTATCTACTTTGCCCCGACAAGCATTCGTTTCAAAGCTGAAATTAAATTGCCCATTTTTTGAAAGTGCAGTTCAGGTTTTCCTTAAGCCAAATACATAGTTCAAAACATAAAAATGTGACAAAGGCTACCCCACAGCTCTAAGAATCCCTCATCCCAGAAAAAAGGAACACCCATGAAGCAGAAAGTGACTTAAAGCTATGTCTACAGATGAAACGGAACCACACATTTTCATCAGAGGCTTACTAAGGATGAGCTAGTCTGTATCCCAAATTATTTTACGTATTGTTCTTCCACCAAAGCAGAGCTGAAGATGCTCTTCAAAGTACTGTTTCCTACTGACAAACATTCTGAGTTAGCAGTTATTTCTGACACAGTTAATAGCCTACATAAGTATTCCTGATTACAATAAGCAGTCAGGTCCTAAAAGAATTACAATCACACTGCTTAGCAAAAAGAAATGGATTTGTGATTCCTTCCACTCTGGAGACCTTTTTGCACAAGACGCTGCTGCTATTTAATCATTCTGCCCCTCCTTATGTTTCATAGAAATCCTTGTTATGGACATCATGAAACCTGACTTGAAATCTACATCAGAGTGAACATGCTCATTCAAATTAAAAGCAATATTCCAGAAGGTACTGGAATATGGCGAAAATAGAAGCAAGTATGAGATAAATTTTTAATGAATGTTGATTCCCAGAGGGCTCCCAATGCTTTCAATTTTGTGCTCGAGCAACAGAAATTCTTAAACATCTCTGTGGAACTATGTCACAGGGAACTTACTACTTTTTCCTTACAGGAACCAGTGAAACTGTGATTCCACCCTGCAATAGTGATGATGTGTGTAACAGAAATAAATACCGCTCTAGAAAAGCTTAAGGTTTCTGAGCATCTCAAAATCAAATGAAAACTCCCTCTACTAAATCAAGCAATCCTGACTATAGGGGTGGCTTGGAAGGCTGCGGGTTGAAACTCCAGCGGTCAAAGTATGATTTGAGGGGGAAACGTGAACATGCAATCAACAAAGTAATCAATCCAACTTGCATCAAAGTTCACCAGGAAACAACAATCTGGAAAAAGAAAAACAAGTGATTTTATTTGAAGTGCACCCAACAGATGCTGAAAAGTAGAGTTGGAAATTCACCCTAAGTAGGTTACATTTTGGCCAGAGTCCTGTGGAAACCCTAAAAGAAAGGCAGTCGGTATTAATAAAAATTCTGAAAACATTCACACTACCCCCGTACCACCTCGCCAGTGGCATCCTCGCTGAGGACGCGGGGCCGCGGGCCGGCCGAGGTCTGTGCGAGGGCAGTGTGGAACGGCAAGGGCCGCCTGGACCGCGACCGCCCCACCCAGCCGGGGAGCAGTAGCGGTGCGCGCGGCCTGCGCCGAGACATTGCGGGCGCATCCACTCGGCGACCGCGCGCCACGGCTCCTCCAGTACCCACGGCCTCCAGACCGCAGAGAGAGGGCGCGCAGACCCCTCGCCGCGCAGTCCGCACCGCCCCGGCCGCATCCCCGGCGCGCAGATCCTGGGGGCCGTGGCGGCCCCAACCGCGGGCCAGGGGCGAAAAGAGGCTGCGCCGCTGCCTCGCCCTCCTTCCCCTAGCCCCGGCTACTCACGTGCCAAATGGCGAAGAAGATGAGCGCGGCGGTGAGCAGCAGCGCTAGCATGTAGCAGAAGGCCGCGAACGTGAACGCCATGGCCGGGGAGGAGGAGCGGGGAGCGGCGCCGGTGCCAGCGGAGAAAGGCGGCGCAGGGCCCTCTGGGTAAAACCATTCACTTCCCCCGGCCCCAGCCACGACCGCCGCCTCCGCCGCCACCGCGGCGCCCGCCCTCCCAGCGCGCCTGCGCAGCAGCCCAGCCGCGCTGGCGCCCTCTGATGACCGGAGCCTGCGTTGCACTGACATTATCCGCACAGTTGATTGATTGATTTTTCCTTCCTTCTCGCGTTTATTTTTTCAACAAATATTTATTGAATGAGTGCCTAATTTGTTCCAGGCACCGCGCTTCTTGCTTCAGATACAAATACGAACAAGATAGTACTTGCATTAAAAGAACTTAGTATAATGCCGGAAATGAACACCTAAATTAATAATTACGGTATTATAACCCCGTAAACGGATGTTCGTGGGATGTTCTGAAAGGTCGAAGAAGGACAGCCAGCCCGCTGTGAAGCATTTAGGCAGAATTCCTGCTGTAAGTGTTTCATAAGTTGGCCTTAGATGATGAGCAGAAGTTCTCCAGGCAAAAAGAAGACAGAACTAGCAGTCCAAGGAAACGGTTCAGAATGAGCAAGAAGTCCAAGGAAACGGTTCCGAATGAGCAAAAGCACAGAGATGATAAAAAAAGAAAAGAAAAATAAAGCTTTGTGTCTCAGGTGAAACCAGCAGCAGTTCTTTATTAATGCAATGTAAGTGCAAGACAGTGGCGAGAGTTAGAAAGGAATTAGCGAGGGATCCGATCACAGAGGACCTTACACGCTGGGTTACAGAGCTCAGACTTCAAAACCCATGAGCGGGGGAGGGGGGGTCACAAGGTCAAGAGATCGAGACCATCCTGGTCAACATGGTGAAACCCCGTCTCTACTAAAAACACAAAAAATTATTAGCTGGGCACGGTGGCGCGTGCCTGTAATCCCAGCTACTCAGGAGGCTGAGGCAGGAGAATTGCCTGAACACAGGAGGCGGAGGTTGCGGTGAGCCGAGATTGCGCCATTGCACTCCAGCTTGGGTAACAAGAGCGAGACTCTGTCTCAAAAAAAAAAAAAAACCCATGAGCCCAAATTTTTCCCATTTTTTTGCTCACCACAGGCAACTAGATAGATTTTTTTTCATTGCATCCTCGCGGAATATCAAGTTATGAAGAAGTGGAAATCTAGATATAGAGACAAAGAAATATATGTATAACCGAAACAAAAATTTCACAAAATTGTAAGTACTTTTCCTTCTACTCTCTTTTGCTATTTTTTTTGTTTTTAATGCTGGTTGTAACCCACAAAATTGATTCAAAATCTATTAACTTTCCATTACAACCATTTTTGAAAGGAAAAAAACTGTTGACTGATTGCTACTGATGGAAGTGAAAATCATTGAAGGCCTTTGAGCAAAAGAAGACCATGTTTAGATTTACATCAAAGATCACTGACCTAGCAAATTGTGTAGAATGGTTTAGAAGCAGGGTCTGTCCAGTGTTGTGCAATAGAACTTTCTGTGATGGTGAAAATTTTCTATACCTATATTGCTCGATACAGTCGCCACTAGACACATTTGACCTTGTTGAGCACTTGTAAATTTTCTAGCATGACTGAGAAACTAAACTTTACATTTCACATCATTTTAATTAAGTAAAATGTGGCTAGTGTATTGCACAGTGCAGGCCTGTGCCACCAGGATTGCACCTACATACAAATTATAAAGTTACTTTTGGCCGGCCACAGTGGCTCACGCCTGTAATCCTAACACTTTCGGAGGCCAAGGCCGGAGGATCACTTGAGCTTAGGAGTTTGAGACCAGCCTGGGCAAAGTAATGAGACCTCATCTCTATTTCTTTTTAAAAAATAAAATAAAATCCAATAAAATTGTTTGCAAAGTTACTTTAGCCAGCTGGACAGAGGCCCACACCAGAGTATAGGAATACAGGCTACACTTCAGCCCACTAACCTCCTTGCCCAGGCACCTATGTGCAGTACACAAACTGCCCAACCATGCACAATGACCCTGATTAGAGGAGTGTTCGCTTGGAAATGGGGCCGACAGCAATGGTCCAAGCAAAAGTTGCTATGGATCTGAACTAGAGCAGTGGAAGCTGGGAAGGAAAGGGGTGAACATGTTTGATAGTATTTGGGAGACAAGCTCAGCCGAACTTGATTAACTGGATACCCCGGTGAAAGGAAGGAAGCAAATATGATTTAATTCATTACTTCAGGCCACAGAGGCATGGCAGGACACAGCACTGGGCAATATTCATGTAGGAGAACTCAGAATCTAATGAAAGGCAGATGCAGCTTCCTGGGCTCAGAGGAAAGAGAGTTTGCAGGGAACTACTCAAGCCAAACCATGAGATCCAGCCCTCTTTATCTAAATGAATCCCATCTACAACTTGGGAAATGATGTTTCATCACCAGATACCAAGATATCCTACATTGTGGCAACAAGCTTTTCTCCAGCTTCACTTGAAATGTATATTTTCCTTATCTCATAGAATGAAACTGTCTCCCTGGGACCCACCCTTAATTAGAAGGGGCTACCCCTACTTCACATGAGGAGGAAGAGGAGGTTTGTAAGAGGAATTTTGCCTGCCTCAACCCCCACTACTGCAGTTACATAAAAACCAGGTTCCCCCACCACCTTTCTTCAAGGGTAGCATTTTAGGTATTTCAACAGTGGTTTATCGAGCACCTTTTCTATGCCAGGTGAAGCACTGACTGATTCACACAGTCATTGAAGCTGCAGTGGGATGAAGCCCCCTTCACATATTACCAGAGCACACAGGTAAACTTCAGACTTGTGCTATCTAATACAGAAGCTACTGGTCATGTGACTATTTAAATTTAAATTAGGTTAAGCTGGGCGGAGTAGCTCATGTCTGCAATTCCAACACTTTAGGAAGCCGAGGCATGAGGATCACTTGTGGCTCTGGGGTTGGAGGCTGCAGTGAGCCATGACTGCACCACTGCACCCCATCCTGGGTGGCAGAGTGAGACCTTGTCTCCAAAAATATTTTTAAATTAAAAAGTAAAAAATTAAATTAAATTAAAAATTCAGTTTCTCAGCTACCCTAGCCGTATTTTCAGTGCTCATATTTCCAGCACTCAATAACCTCATGTGGCTACTGTATTAGACAGCGTAGATATAGGATACCTCCAACACAGAAAGTCGTATTGAACAGCAGTATTTTAGACAACATTAAGCAGCTACAATCTGTTAGAGAATACACCCGTTTTAATGAGGATAAAGGGCTAATTTGATCAACCAAGACCTAGGTAGTTAGTGAGGAAAATAATGAGTTTACTTGACATTTTGGAAAGCCATTATGAACAGTGAGAAATCTATATCCTCTGTATTCAAACAGTTCCTTGTACTCTTTGGAATTTGCATCAGTTCTTTTAGCCCCTGGGAGTACTTTTGCAGTAAAGACTGAATTAAGTTCCTGCTTTAACTTGTATGTATGAATGGGGCTGGATAATATTTCAAAGAAGGATTAATTTATATGCTTGTTCTCTCTCTCTCTCTCTCTCTCTCTCTCTCTCTCCTCCTTCCCTCAAATTCCTTTGTTCAAATTCTTTCCATCAATTTACCATCACTGCCCCCACTAACCATGCCTCCAACCCGAACAGCTAGACACAAGTCAGCTGCTTGGAGCCCTGGAAAACAAAGCTGGTAAATACAAAGCATCTAGTCTAAGAAAAACACAGAAAAAAAAATTATATACCCACCTGAGAAATTTGCCAGCCCCCAACTAGATAAAGCCAGTACTGAGGAAGGGGGAAGGGGAGGCGCTGAGCAGTTGGGAGAACGTGACCTCAAGAAACTTGCAAGCCTCCACGGGAACAAGCACCACCATGCCAAATTCCAGGGAGTTGCTTGGCAGCTCAGCTCGGGTTCTCTGCCAATTGACAGCAGGCCATACTTTGCCACTGATCATCCAGGTGGGAGTGAGGCTTGGCACTCTGCCCAGCATTCCTCCCGCACCGAGGGCACAGCAAGTGAGGGCGTAGGATGCTTAGAGACATGGTGGTAATATAAACGGAAAGCTCTGCACTGGTGTGAATTTACCCTCAACCAACTAACATGAGGACTCCCACAAACGGAGAATAATAGGAGAACATCTCATCCCGGTTACAAATGCCGTATCCAATCCACTATGCTTTTGGAGGATCTGGGCCCTTGCCTTGAATAATGAGGCAAGAGGAAAGAATCCTGGGCCCAGAAGACTGGAGGCCAGCAGTCCCCAGTCTTCCAGAAGAGGTTTGCATATTTGGGGAAGAAGCAATTTCACCTGGTAATTAGCGGCGGTTCGTGGGTGGGCTATGGATCTGGGCATGTGACTGGGACATACTACTTGAAAAGAATAGTTAGAAAGCTGGGAAAAGTGGGATATGTAACAGAAAGTATTGGTTGCCCCCAAACCCCACCCCCATTTCCTTCTTGTTGGCAGAGCTCAGAGTTTGTTCAAGGCTTCAGAAGACAAGCCCTTCCCAAGTCCAAGTTATGAGAAAAAGTAGCTCTGCCCCCTCCAGAGCAATGTGAGATTCTTAGTTGTTTTCTGTATGTGGCAGAGCTGACAAAGTGTTCATGTTTTTTTCTGCTTATTATATACATCTCCAAAACCTTGGGTTAAGGCAGCATGCAGAAGAGAGCTTCAGGCTGTCCAGCAGGATGTGGTTTCTCAATATTGGTGGCTGTGTCATGCACTCTGCCCTTTGCACTTGGGAGTGCCTGTTACACAACCATGATGAAGGGAATTAATGTACAGAAATGACTTAGTCAACAATCTTATATATGCAAAAAAAGTCGCATTGTTCTTTTTTTTTTTTTTGGGAGGCACTCCCCAGGCTGGAGTGCAGGGGCATGATCTCAGTTTACTGCAACCTCTGCCTCCCGGGTTTGAGCAATTCTCCTGCCTCAGCCTCCTGAGTAGCTGGGATTACAGGTGCCCACCACTGTTCCCACTAATTTTATTTTTATTTATTTTTATTTAATTAATTTATTTATTTATTGAGACAGAGTCTTACCCTGTCCCCCAGGCTGTAGTGCAGTGGCGTGACCTCGGCTCACTGCAATCTCCACCTCCTAGGTTCAAGTGATTCTCCTGCCTCAGCCGCCTGAGTAGCTGGGATTACAGGTGCCCGCCACTGTGCCTAGCTGATTTTTTTATTTTTTTGAGTCTCACTCTGTCCCCCAGGCTGGAGTCAGTGTCGTGATTTCAGCTCACTGCAACTTCCGCCTCCTGGGTTCAAGCAATTCTCCTGCATCAGCCTCCTGAGTAACTGGGATTACAAGCATGTACCACCACACCCAGCTCATTTTTTTTTTTTTGTATTTTTAGTAGAGACAGGATTTCACCCTGTTGGCCAGGCTGGTCTCGAACTCCTAACCTCACGTGAGGCAGGCTCACGTGATCTGCCTGCCTCAGCCTCCCAAAGTGCTGGGATTACAGGTGTGAGCCAGCCTGCCAGGCCTATTGTTCTTATTTTTTGTGTCTTTCCTAAAGCCACATAAAGACGGCGAAATGCACAGATCTTAAGTGTACAATTCAAGGAGTTGCAATACACATATACACCTATGTAACCTTCCTCCTAAAGAGAGAGAACATTTCCATCACCTCACAAAGTTTCCTCATGACCCACCCCCTAGGCAATAACCTTTCTGCTCCCTAGCACCATAGATGAGTTTTACAGGTCCTTCAGCTTCACTAAATGGAATCATATAATATGTATTCTTTGTGTCTGGCTTGATTTGGCTCAGCAAAATCTTTGGGGGTTTTCTTCAATACTCATCCATATTGCTACATGTATCAGCAGTTCATTTTCTTTTTTAAAAATCAACTTTATTAAGGTATAATTTACAGAAAATAAAATTTACTCATTTCAAGGGCACTGTCAATGAGCGTATGGAAAATTATACACTCAGCCACCCACAATCAAAATGTTCAACATTTACAATACCCAAAAAAATTCCACCATGGTGCTTCCTAACCCACAACCCAAGGCAACCTCTCATGTGCTTTCTGGCATTATAGACTAGATTGGCCTTTTCTAGAGTATCATATCACTGACATTATATAGTGGTTACTCTTGTCTGGCTTCTTTCATTCAGCATATTTCTGAGATTCACCCATGTTGTTTTCATAAGGTTTCTTTTTTCATTGTTTTGTAACATTCCACTGTATGATTACATCACAATTTGTTTCTGTATCCTATTTATAGACATCTGGGCTATTTTTAATCTGGAGCTATTATGGACAACTATAACATACATTCTTATATTTTTTTCTGAATATATATTTTCTTTTGGGGAGATACACAGGAGTGAAACTGCTGGGTTATGGCAAGACGGTACTATATTCTTCTTCTTCTTTTTTTTTGAGATGGAGTCCCGCTCTGTTGCCCAAGCTGGAGTGCAGTGATGCAGTCTCAGCTCACTGCAACCTCTGCCTCCCCGGTTCCAGCGAGTCTCCTGCCTCAGCCTCCCAAGTAGTTGGAACTACAGGCATATGCCACCATGCCCAGCTAATTTTTCTTTGTATTTTTAGTAGAGACGGGGTTTCTCTGTGTTAGCCAGGATGGTCTTGATCTCCTGACCTTGTGATCCGCCCACCTCAGCCTCCCAAAGTGCTGGGATTACAGGTGTGAGCCACCGCGCCTGGCCTATATTCTTTATTATGTTTAAGTAGCTTTATTACAACTCCAATTCCCTTTCCAGTGGATTAGTAAAAAAAAATCTGTCTCCGGCATTATTGGCAGCCTCCCTTCTGAAAGTCATACTAGAGTCCTGGAAATGTATGTGACCACTGTGGCAGAACAGGCAAATATTAGAGTCTGTGCCAAGGTTGGGAACTCTGGTACCTCCAGGAGCCCCAGGGTTGTCCTCCCTATGATGCCACTGCCTCCCCACAGCCTGCAGAACAGGGCACGGGTCCCTACTGCCTGCAGGACTCACAGATCTCTCTCTCTGATCCCTTGCCAGTTTAGGAAATTAGCTACTCTCTCCTTTCTCCTGGACCCCCAAAAACTTTGCTCACCACCCTCCTGCTCTGGGACACCTAGGAAATTCTCTTCAGGGAAATGAGGGCTTTCACAAGAGGCAAGAAGAGCCGTTGATCAGATGGCTTGCTCTCTCTGTACTTCCTGCAAACATTCTCAAGGCAAGGAAGGCTGAAGGGATTGATCACTGTCAAAGCGTGGAGGGAGAGAGGAACACAAGAGGAAAACACCAATAATTAGTTCAAGAAATGCTTTAGCCACCTTTTAAGAACCAGGGAGTACTCAATCTTATTTTTGGTAGTTTTGGACATTTGATTTCCTGAAGTTGTAAACTGAATGTCCTGTGTTGAATGAAAGAAGTTTTGAAATCCTTGAAAGAAACAGAATGATGCTATGGGACATACTGCCTCTAATTTCCTTTATTGAGGATTTTACCATCTGATCTGTGAGTGGGTTAGTCAGGCTCACTGGGGTAGCAAGGAACAGAGTCATGCCCAGGTTTCATCATTCTACAGAGGTTTACCGTAAGGACATACCCAGAGGTAGAGGAGCTAGGAAGGGATTATAGCCTTTGCAAACAGCCTTTTAAAAGACTCTGGTATGCCACTGACCCAGAACCTGAGAGCCTCTGAGTGACTAATATGTGTCGTCCCTCATTCCAGAGGCACATTTTTATGGTAACAACATTATCTCAGGCCCAGGGGCAGCTTTCAGGGGCCATAGAACTCAGTGAGTGTTGAACCCCCATAGGAACCTAGACCTACCTTAGCAAACGCAAGTTTACAGCATCATGCAGCAATTTCTGGGCAGTCTTAGTCCATTTGTGCTGCTACACTGAATAATTTATAAACAACAGAAAGGTATTTCTCACAATTCTCGAAGCTGGTAAGTCCAAGATCCAGGCACCAGCAGGACTGGTGTCTGGTGAGGGCTGCTGTCTGCTTCCAAGATGGCGCCTTATGCTGCATCCTCTGAAGAGAAGGACCACTGTGTCCTCACCTGGTGGAAACAAAGGAAGGGCAAAAAGAGCCCAAGCTAGTTCCCTCCAGTCCTTTTAGAAAACGTGAATCCATTCATATAGGCAGAGCCCTCGTAAGTTAATCACTTCCCAAAAGGCCCCAGCTCCTAATACCACCACTATGGGGATTAAGTTTCAACACGAATTTTGGAGGGGACACATTGAAACCATGGCATGGGCTTAAATTAAGCTGGCAGCCAGCAGCTTGCAGAGCACCTAAGACGGATACCAAGCTTTTGGGAAACACTGATCCGTAAAGACTCTGAATTTTAACTTTGAACTCATACATAATCAAAACCTAAAAACTGAATAATAAAGGCTTCTGAATTCCAGCCTAGTAAGTGGGAAATGAGACTACCGTGTAGGACCTTCTACGAGATCCCCAGGAGCTGAAAATAGAGAATCAAGTTACCACTTAAACTGTTCCCCTAGCCACATAGGTTATCACCACCAGTTCCTTATGGAAGAACTAAACATCGACATTGAAACCAACTGTGAGGAAGTATTGCCGAGGGTGAAAAGGGCAGCACTGGAGTCAAGAATCACTGCTCCACTCCTCCTCACTCTAGAGTAACCTCGGAGAAGTAACTCTGCCTCTCAAAGTCTGTTTCATTATCTGAAAAATGTGGAAGATAAAAACACCTACCTCATAAAGTTATTTTAAGGATTCAATGAGGTATAAAGGTGTTCAGCTTGGATAAATAAAAGTGACAGTAATCCCTGCCAAGAAGACAATAGACTCAATATGTTTGATGAAAGAAAACTTCAGTGCAAAATCAAAGATGGAAAGAGAGAAGGTTGGCTGGGCACAATGGCTCACACCTATAATCCCACCATTTTGGGAGACCAGGATGGGTGGATCACTTGTGGTCAGGAGTTCGAGACCAGCCTATCCAACATGATGAAACCCATCTCTACTAAAAATGCAATAAGTTACCTGGGCATGGTGGCAAGAGCCTGTAATCCCAGCTAGAATCCCAGGAGAATTGCTTGAACCCAGGAGGTAGAGTTTGCAGTGAGCTGAGATTGCGCCATTGCACTCCCTCCTGGGCAACAAGAGTAAAACTCCATTTCAGAAAAAAAAGGAGGGGAAGGGGAAGAGGTGAGATTCAGAGCCCAAGTGAAAAACTGTATATTTAGGAAAAAGACATTTATCCACACCCAGAAAGAAATCCAAAGTCATGTTCAGACATTCACTAACTTGAAGAGAAGTTCATTAAGTTATGAAGGCTTGCAAAACTCATAGCATCTTCTGAGGAAGACTGACCATGCAACCATCCTGTGACAGCTGATTGGACCCAGGCTGCATCAGGGCCTGCCAATCAAGCCACCAGCTGACGGAAACAAGGACACAGCAGCAGTGGTGGGGGTCACCTCCGTGATGCTCTGCCTCAGCAGATACATCTGCCATACAACATCCCTGAGCAGAACATGAAGATCCTTTGTTTCTCAGGGAGTTTGAATGTGAGACATACAAGGACATTCAGTAACTGAGAGCAAGGCCACAGGTGGAGAGACACTCAAAGAGAAATCAGTCAACAGAGCCCAGGAGTATTCGCAATTCCAGACTAAGTTGAAACCATAAATAATGGAAGTGGTGAGTAGATCAAAACCACGTTTAAGCAGAAGCAGCCACTTCCCCAACAGGCATGTGCTTGCCTTCCTAAAAAAGACTGGGGCCATGGTGGCTCACACCTATAGTCCCTGCACTTTGGAAGGCGAA